GGGGGGGGGTATAGGGGTGTGCGCGCGTGCCGTGTGCAGAGAAGCGTGTGGGCCGGGTCCGTCCGTCCATCACGAGTCGGTCGACCTTGCTTCCTGAACGATCCCTTGCTGTCTCGGACATCGGCTGCTTTTCCTTCTCTCCAAGCTGGCCGCCCGGAGAGCTTGGGTTGGTATTCGCCTTTTCAAACGGGTTTACATTGCCCTCAATGTGTCGATAATACAGCAGCATCAACCACTCTCTGCAAAGGGGTTCAGAAAACGCGTCAGAAGTCAGAAGGAACGGGAGCGCACAGACACTATTCCCCCCTCGCCGCTCTGTCTATTCCCGTCTCGCTTTCTCCCGCCCCCCCACCTGCCTTCCTCCAGCATCTCAAACCAGCATTCTCCTTCTCGAGATGAGCCTTTGCAGGGTGCCACGCAGAGGCCGAGAGGACAGGGTCTGTGGTCTTCGCGATCGCAATGCGAGTGCATCATCAGGCTGGTTGCAGTGTGAATCATTTCCTAGCGCAGATGCTTGACGGTGAGGGAGGAGGGGAGACATGCACCGAAGGAAAAAGGATGGTGCAGAGACGGGAGGAGGCCCGACGAGCCGGGGGGCGACGCTTAAGGGTCTCGCAATGTATCTATCTCTTCATGTCCCCCCCGCGTCTATTTCCATTTTTTTCCACTCTTCTTTTTGCCGTCTCGTTGCACTTCCCTGCCCATGGCGTTCAATAAATCCTCTTGCATGCTCGTGGGTGGCTTTGGGCGCCTTGCATCTCCGCCCAACCTGAGATGGAACCAGCTCCATCCTCCGAGACATTGGCCGATGATGACGCCAGCTTCGGTCCCCGCAGCTCGTCGCCTCTGACCTCGGTTCCGCCGTCACCAGACAGCCAGGCTGCCGTTAGACCGGAGGGCGAGGATGAAGACCAGCCCGAAGGCCTCTTTGCCAGGCCTGTCCCGACCTCCGTTGATCGCTCGAACGCAGTCCTTCAACAATACTCCTATGTGACCCTCTTGCCATGGCGCGTCGCTGTCTGTACCGTCTGCCGTCTTGCTGTCGAACCAAAGCGCACCTACTGCCATTATGTTCAGCACCTCTCTCAATCTCGCCCCATCAGGGACAGGGCTGCCTTGGACAGTGCGGAGATCGAGCTCTGTCTTCAAGATGCGCAACTCGAGATCGCTCCTCTCGTCTATGCTGCTTCCGCCGCCCTTCGTCCTCCCCTCAAGGCACTTGTCTGCGCTGTTCCGAGCCCTGGCCGCCGTCACCCTCTTGCTTGCTGCTATCCTTACACATCCAACAGCGCGCTCAGGCGCCATCTACGCGAGTATCATGCGCATGAGACTGCTTCTCGGCAAGGCTCTCTTGCCTGCCTGTCTCGTCCTGTGCAAGCCCAACGTCTTTTTGGCAGGCGTAATCAGCCTGGCTATACTGCTTTCGAAATTGCACCGTCCAATCCGATCAGCTATGCTCCCTCTATGACGGGCATCCTCCAGAAAATGGACTCGCTCCGGACCCAGCATGTGCCAGTGGCAGACGATGCGGTCGATGTCCGTGCGTTGGACGTCTTCCATGCCAAAGCGCACTGGCATACGGTCACAGGCGAGCTAGATCTCAAGGCGCTACACGCGCTCGCTCAAGTGCAATACAGCAAACCGGACGAATGGCTTCAACCGCTCTCCAAGGTGTGCTCTGATCTCATGGCAGAGATCCATCTCGAAGCCATCCCAGCCCTGGATCGCACCCTCACCTTGCGCTGGCTTAAGATCGCCAATGGACAGTTCGAGCGGGGCGACCCACAGGGCCTACCAAGAGAAGCAGACCCCTGAGCGTGCGGCCAGCTACATCTGCCAACTGCTGCTCCCTGCGATCCGCCTGCGGTCCGATCCGGAGCGCCACCCCCAGTTCGATCACCTGCTCAATGATCGACAAAATGTGCTAGTCGGCAATCTCACCGCGATTCTCCGATCCTCGAGTCAGTCGACGAGCCGGCCGCACGTGAAGCGGTGAAGGAGCTGTTGCACTCGAACATCACCACACGAGCACACAACACCGGTCTCGCATCGTACGCCGTCGAGCGATGGCTCATTCTGCTCTCCCTCCGCCCGGACGGAAGCTGGAGGACCGTTGAGGGGATCGGTCCCATCATTGGCTACCTGAAGCATATCGTCCGCGGCCTCCTTGCCCTGCACATCCTCCTCAACGCCAGCGGGTGGGGGTGGTGATCGAGTCAGCGGAGATAGCATCGATCCATGCGTTCATCTCTACTGGCCTGATGTACTGCATATCCCACGAACCACGTCCGCGCCGATTTTATCCCCATCCTGTATCCGCGATGTTACACGGCAAATTGTTGTTGATACGATGGCGCGATGCTGCACCAGCGATGAAGGAGGCCCAGCTAGTTGGCATGGGCGACAATCTCATGCTCAGGGGACCTGCGGGGATTGACGCTTGGGAGACAGCCCACTTCCGCTGTCTCAATGCCCTCTTTTCCGAGGCATTTACCGTTACCACATTCCATTCCGTACAGAAACTTCGTCCAAAATACAGCATGTCCCTCAACCCCACCTACGTTCATAACGTACCATGCAGTGAACTGTAAAAGGAGAGCCGTACTCAGAACGCAGTCAAATGTTCTTCCGCCCGCACCACCCGCATCACTTGCACTCACCCATCTGGCGGAAACCAGTGAGTTGTTTCGACCACAATCGAACTCGTACCAGCAATCTCAGGCTCGATAATTGGCAGTGTTCCATGTCCCCTGGGAGGGCCGCATGCCCTGAAATAAGGTGTCCTGTCGACCCTGATTGGGCCACGGAGCGATGGGTTGCATATTTGGCATCGCAGGGAGTACGACGCCAGGCAGTGGGACGGGCGGGAATGGGCCGCCCATCCCTGGAGGCACCAGAGCCGCAGGAGTCGGTCCCGCACACCATGGTGAATAGATACCACTGAGGCGCATCTGCTGGTTGAGAATCATCTTTACTTGATCCGGGATATGAAGGATTTCAGCTCGGCGCAGACATGCGGGAAGTACACCGGCTGGCTGGACCTGGGAGAGAAGGTTGACGAACTCCGCGTAGACAACAGCGGCAGGCTTGACAGCCTGCCAGATAGAGTATTGCTCTCGGCGGTAGCCCAGCGCCGTCGCGGCACGTCGTATCTGTAGATAGATCGAGCCTAGAGAGCACAAGCGGATGATTCAGTCATCGATCTAAAACAGGCACTGGAGGGGTCAGACAAGGAGTTGCCTAAAAGTAACGCTGCTAGGTTACCGTGGGTGTTGAAACTCGAGTGTGACTTCGGAGCAGACAAAGGAAAGGAAACATTTGAAAGTGAGTAGGCTGCTTACTTCTATATAGGCCGTAACCGTTGGGAGGATCGTCCTCCAGCGCGCGGGTGCCAATATCGTACGCAAATGCGTATTCTCCCACGGGAGGAAGAGCCATGATAATGCCGGGAACCAAAAGTGGGACAGGGCCGAGCCCAATGTTGGGTAAAGGCCTTGAGTAAGGCGGCCCGAGAGCCGCCAGAAGCGTTCTGGTGCCCGGTGGGTGATGAACAGTAGCCATTGATCAATAACCCGAAGTGTAGCGCCGATACGTAATGAGCTTGGCGGTGTTGTTGAGTATCAGAATTGTCCGCTTCGTCATGCAGAATGGGGCGGGGCGGCACGGAGGCGTTTTTGGTTCCACCCTCTGCAAGGCCTGAAAGCTATAGTAGGATATATGGGCCCCATATGGCACTGTACCGCCAACATGCTCCCGTTCGACTTGACGCAACACTCCCCCCCGGCTCTCATTCAAGACTCTCGCACTCAGGCTATTCGCCGCCGGCACGAGTTGCTGGTACTCGTGATGGGCGTCCCTCCCGCAGAGTGGATAAAGGTCGAAGCTGAGGTTCACACACGGATCCAGGAGTTGTGGCGCCAAGGGCAACAAGACTTTACAGTGGGCAACGATGTGGCGCTCCAGCACCGACTTCACTTCTGGGCAAAGGTCGAGGAGGAAGGTGGTAGGTTTGATGCAAACCGCGAACTACTGAAGTTGTGAGTTCTGTGATAATGATCTACGTCAAGTATACTGATCGAGCGTACACAAGCTGTTACATCTCGCTGAACGCAATTATCGCCTGGGAGGCGACTCTTAGGGAGGGCGTGTTGAACAAGCTTCCTCCGCAGGTCGGTGCGAACTTGGAGGCGGCTGGTGTTGCTCTGGAGTATGTCGTACCACAAAAATCAGCCCCACATGTCGGTCATACTGACACTGTCAGGGCCGGGCTCCAACGGCAAAGAGGCGGCGAGCCTGCCGATTCAGGGTCACACATCGCAAGAAAGGGTGCTTCCTGGATAGGAGGGACGTTCACATCGAGCAGGTGGTACTCGAAGGACGGTCACGCTGTAAACACGATGCGAAGAGTTATTGTCATCGATTATGGCCATAGCACTGTCGATGGGGCGTTTTACAGGGCACACCCAGTCGATAACAAGGATGATGTGCGAGTCATCGAGAAAGACCAGTTCGAAAGCTGGGTCTCTCACTAGTTACATCGTCGTATCATCTGCTTGTCTCGTATGGGCAGCAAAGATCGCTGCACTGCATTCAGAGATGTGACGAATATGCCCAGTAGCTAATATCTGGATGTGTAGGAGATTTTCAATGTATCCCCTGATTCTGACCCCCTCCAACACCGTCGTTTGCCGCGCCAACCGGTAAAATCGGCTCACCGCCTTCGCCCCTGCCAGGCCTCCGAAGCACGACCGAGGTCGAGAAGGCGGTGAGAGAGGAACGGGCGGTGGTAGACGACGACTCCGACGTCGAGCTCGTCGCCCGCTTGAAGGTCCCCTGGTCCGCGTCCAGCGTCACCCATGTCCGCTCCGACCAAAAAACAAAACGAGCCAAAACCCTAGCCTTGATGTCGAACGCATGAAACAATGGCGGTTTGGTGCACGCGCATGTGAGTAGGACAAGTCGGTTGGCAGGGGGGGCCGCCGTCTGGGTAGGACCGTTTCCTTCCTCCCAACGGGCGCAGACCCTTGCTGCCTCGGATGTGAACACGCTGTATGCCTTCCTTTTTGCAAGCTGGCCGCCAGGCTGGGTTGCATTTGCTTTTCAAGCGGTTTGGATTGTCAATGTGTGAGAAGAATACAATGTCGATGGCAACTCTGCAGCAGCCTTAGCAAACGGGCCAGAGGGTGGGTTGACGGGGCGGGCGCACAGATTACTACCTCTCGCTCGCCATCGCTCGCCCTCGCATAACCCTCCTCGCTCTGCTTCTGAAATGCGTTCTCTCGCCCTTCTTCGGCCTGCGTTCCCTCAGCGTCTCAATCCTTCAGCCATCTTTCAAAGGCATGGGTTACCATGTGGTCTCCATGATGCGCGTGCCGCGACGTGCCCGCACGCAGACAGAGCCTGTCATCTCACGCTCCACCGCACGGTGGTGCGAAAGTTCCGCGACGGAGGAGGCCTGTCTATACGTATTAGCTGGTGTGATTCTATGGGGGAAGCAAGAGGTGCGCACCTTCGACCATCGAGGGCGGCTCGGCACTCGCGAGCAGCGCGTTCGTCAACACCTTTCCCTGCACGCGCTTGGGGCGCAAGCCCTGTGACTTGTGCCGCACCATAGCCCAGCGAGTGGCGAGCGGAATATGTCCAGATATGTGATCCCGCCGGAGAAACTCGAGTTGAGAAGACCGGTGGATCTGTTCCAACCGGACCGACCCTCGGGAGACGTGTGTCAGACTCCTGTCTTGTTCCCACTCCTCCACATCAGCCGCCTCCAGCCCCGATCACATTCGGGCGGCACGCAAGCTGCTATACAGTGTGCAGCATCGACCATGGCTCGAACCCTGACAGAGCGTTGACATGCTCGATCGACAAGGAGACGTTCTGGCGTACGGCAAGCTCATGGATGACGTCCATCTCGATCTACCGGTCTTTCGACCAATGCTCGTCCATCCCGTCCTTGATAAGTACGTTGCAGGCCAGGATGGTGGTGGCGGTCTTGCAGCGGCCGACCTCGAAGTCGATGGGAAGGGGGCGGGCGGGAATCGCATGCGATGTGTGTTCCTTGGACAGGCTGCAACAATTATTGGGCCGGTTGATGATGGATGTCTGGTGGGTGAAGGGCATTGTTGCCTGCCTCTGCCCAGCAAGTCCGGCAATACAAAGCGTGAAAGGCTGATGGATGGGGTGTCGCGAGCACACCAGCGAAAAACAACCCAACCCGGCATATGCGTGCATCGCCACGTCTGCCCTCGGTGGTCCGGTTCCCTGCCCGCGCCCTCCCTTTGTCTGTGCCAACGAGCTCTGACTAGTACTCGGGTCTGCCGCAGGAGTATTTCAGCCGGATCATGACGAGCGCAGGATAGATCGATACTGGATGCAGGCATTGGACAGGCCACTCCAGTCTGTTTACCAGTCGATGCACGTGGTAAACGTGGTTACCGCTCTGGCAGTGCAGTCCCGGATACATCCAGGGGTCCCCGACACAGGTTTCCCGGAATCCGGAATTGCGTCCGACCACGTTCACCGGGACCCTGGGTGTCTGGATTCCCGAATGTGACGACCCAACGTGCCAAAATTGGAGCAATGACCACCTCTCACGGGGAGGCCAACGAATCACGCCTTCATCTAATTTCAAGCCTGCCTTTTGATCCCCTACCGCCATCACGCCATTATCCCTCCTTCCTTCCTTTGGCATCCGCCTGGTCAAGCGGTTCAGAGACGAGGATACCTTGAAGCTGCAGAGGGGAGCAGAGGGGCTAAAGAGGCTCGCGAGGGTTCTGTCAGTCTGTGCACGTTGGAGATGGATGAGGCCTCGCCCTGATCGTCGATGAGGGTACCCAGGTATGCATTGTCCATCCCTAGATGCCGTTGGGATATACCAGGTGCGGCTCACTGGCTGACAATCACCCAAATTGAGGATGAACGAGACCTACAGCTGCATCGGACTGGCTCTTTTGAAGGAAGGGTAGTATGTTGTATTGTCATTTTGAATAAAGAGCAAGCACCTTCTGCGTTT